GAGGGAAAGGCTGAAAATATTAGTGGAAGATGAGCACTAACCATTGATTCACTGGTCACCGAGAGCCTAAATAAAGACCAGTAAATATTTAGATTTCTGAGATGGAATAGTGAGAAACCTAATTAAAACATGTTAAAAATGACCAGTCAGGAAAAATAGAAATGCTGCTAGGAAACAGGGGTTGCGAGAAGAGCTCTTGTGTCTACTCCTTATACTCAACATGTGGAGCTTTGGAATGGATGAGCCTTGAAATCATAGAGGCTCATGATTTGTTGAGCAATACTCAGAGCAATACTCATTTCACTGTAGACAGACATTTCAGCTTTGCACCTGGCTGAATGTGTTGCCAATCTTGCAATGCCTTGCTTACTTTTCTTTCTTCTTGTCCCTGTACATGGGTAAGTATACAAGATGTACCACTGCTATAGCCTCTGCTTTTAAAGAAATGGCTCCCTAGCCATCCACTCTTTTCACAGGATTTTTTTCCTAGTTACTTTACACCTATATCATCCATGCATCTTCTCTATAGAATGGTAAATAGTAAGAAAATGATTTTAAAAATCATTCTAGGAGTACCAGAAATAAGGAAGCCTGATTTGTTATGAACAAAATTTCTAGTGATAATTTCTCTACCATCAAAGTTGTCTTCTGGATTTCCTCGTGACATTTTCCATTGTTAGGGCATAACCAGGACTCTCTTCTAACGAGGTACGTAAGTTGCCAAGACTCCTATGCAGCAATCTGGCCTAAAATCAACCAGTGGGTCCTGTAAGTATTTGGAGACACACATGAACAGCATAATTGTATAAACTGTGTTTCTACAGAGTCTGTTTTAGGGACCAGTTAGACACATAAATGATCATGGGGTTGATGCTGCCTTATTACTGCTGTCTGCTAAGAGTTCCTCTTAGTTATATAAGGAACCAGCCTGACCTACAGGCCCTGTATGATTGCAGCCTACACCCCAAAACAGTCCCAGTTAACTTCACCTCAGGACTTTGAGACAAAATCCTTGACCTTGCAGTGGTAGAGACTCATAAAAACTGGTCGTGGGATTCACATTAATACAGGCCAATTAAGATGTACTGGTCTGCTACAGAAAACGAGTTCAATGAGCCTAAGACATTGGATTAAAACATTTTGGCATTGATTTCTGTCAAAGCTGAAGCTAGGATCTGAGGGACCCTTGTTTCTGTTCTTGATTCTTCAACTACAGGGCTGGGGAGCCTGACTGAATCTTAGTAAAAATATCGAAAGATTCCACTGGTCATACTCAGATGTAATGTTACTACTGGCAGTTATGACACTAACCTTTTATGTGACCTTTGTCACTTTGACCTTGTGATCTGATAGAGAGCAGCACATAAAACCCTTTCTTCCTTTCCCAGCACTCCAGCACTTCAATCTCTTATTACATGTGATAATAAGAGACTACCTTTTAAGTACTGGGCAGAGATCAAAATCTATTTCAAACTAATTACTACAAATTAAAATCCACATTTTCCATGACCCCACAACATGTTTAGAAATGGAATACTTTTTTAAAAAATGCCCTGACTCCTTCTACTAACCATCATTTTATGCGAATCTTTAACCACAAACCACATAATATACACACACTAACTACAAGGCAGAGGACCATCCCAGTGTTTTAACCTCACAGTTTCAAAGTTTCCAGGTCTTTCAATTATTTCCTCAGAGCTGATATAAAAATACAGAGGGCAGAGAAAATCACCCTTTTTGCCAAATAGAAGGGATCTGTTCTCTTGGGAGATGCAGATGTAGCATCTCCAGCATTCTCAGGAAATATTCAGGCTTCAGGTTTTGTGACATGGCTAGGATTGCTGTCAGTGGAAGTGCAGACAGTAGTAATAGGGAAGGCTATTTAGATATGCTCTCAGAAAAAGTTCAAGTAGCTTTCTTATAAAGATGAAAAATCCCTACACAAGACTGAAAATGAGTAATTTATTGCCCTCTGACTTCTTAAAAAGTGAATTTTATTTTCTCACAAACCTTTTCTTCTTTATTCTTCTTCTCTCAGAAGAAATATTACCCAAAATCTTGCAGAGAATGCCAAGCCCAGCAACTGTCCCAAAATGAATTGTTGAGATTTTGGTTATGCACAGAAGTGCTGGAACCCTACAGCGATATGACCCCCTTCCTCCCTGCAAACAGCAGGGAAGTCATATGCTTACTCGTCCACACCGGAAAAAACATTATGAAAATAATTTGTCATTTGATCTGAGTGATCAAGATTCATTACTACACATTTCAGTTCATATATTGCAGAGACATTCAGAAAAAAAGTAAATCAAGTATATATAAAAAAGTATATGACTCATTATTGCAAAAAGAGTGAAGAAATCTCAACTGAATTTTGAAGAACTGTCTTGTGATATATTTTTTCTGTGATGAATTCCACCCACCATCCAATCACAAAACATTGTCACCAATGTTTTTTCTTTCTTTTTTTTTTTTTTTAGCTACAAGGTTATTTCTCATTTGCATGGTAACAAATGTGATCTGGAAAACAAGATCTGAATAAAGCAAAGACTGATTCTGACTGGCCAAGATCAGGACACAGCTGAAATTAAATGCTGTGACTCTAAATTCAGTGGATGGCACCAGTTCAGAAAGTGACCTGCATAATGTAGCCCTATTTGAAATGTAGGGCTCGGGCAGATGTCTGTTGGAAACCAAAGAAGAACAAATTGATACTTAAAGGAAGATTAATTCTTCATCCACAGTAAACTTATGTCTGGGGTTTTTTTTTTGTTTGTTTATTTTTTTGTTTTTTTTTCTTCTTCTTCTCAACTTGGAAACTTCTAAATCACATAGGGAAATGCTGAAAGGTTTTTGTTCTCCCTGCCATAGCTCTATACATTCTATACAAACACTGAAAATCCATTTGTCCTCCCTTTTTAGATTTTCCTGTAGTTTAGGCATTCACTAACTCATTCACACATTTGTAACCATTTCCACCTAGCCAATAGCATGTGTGAATAAATATTCACACAGTCCTAAATGTTAGCATGAGGAAACCCTGTATTAACAGCAGACCACACTGAGATTCTGCAGGTTTATATTCACGTCACTTCTGACATTGCAAGAACTACATTAGCAACTTGATGTCCTGAGAGAAGCAAGAAAAACTCAAGGACATTCTATAATATGAACAGAATATAGGAAAGCATTAAATTAGCTCCTTAGAGGCAGCATTGCCTAACATTATTCCAGCTAGACAGCTGGCACAGCCATGAGCCACTAAGAGTCATGCTCTGTCTCCACCTGATAAAACAGGAACTGCTTGCTGGCTGAGCATAGCCAAGAGGAACCTGACAAAGCCCACACTCAAGACCCTCCCACAATCTCTGTTGACTTTGGTGATGCATGTTTTGAAGCTGAGGAAAATGGATTATTTTATGTTTCTACACCATCAAAATTTTTGTGTCTAGAACTAAGACCTTTTGAGGCACAAGGGGGAAAAAAAGGGCATCCAAGATGAACATCTATCATGATTCTTACCTTGCAGTCCTGGGAAAGAATGTAACTGAGCTCCAGTAACAAAGCAGATTGGGCCTTGCATCACCCATTGTAAATAGCAGGGCACTGGAACAGGACGATACGCATGCTTGATACTGAAGAAAAGCCTGTTTGTGCCTATTACACTGGAGATTTTGTACATGATTAATTTTTAAACATGAATTGTGTTTCTTGGATTTTTACATAATATTTTACCCTGAAGTGAAAAGCTCATAGAGTATGGCACCTGACTTGGTCTCACATTGCACTTTCAAAAATGCAAACTTGAGTTAGCAGCCAGCTGAGTGAAGAGGATGAACCATGGAAATGTAGGTCTGAAAGCACGTAAAGCAGTTGTCCAAATCTCTGCTCAGCTCTGATTCTTTGTGATATATACTCTCCCAGATCTTAGAGTTTGAGCAACCACCATGCCATGGTGAAAGTAATGCAGAATAAATGCTCCATTGTGTCCCACAGGAAACAACTTATATCAGAGAGAAGACAGTACTACTCACTTTTTATTTGCCCGGATCCACTTCTTCAATTCATCCATTTAAATTAAATACAAGTCAATCACAGGATGCCATAAGAGTGTCTCAGAAAGAAAGATTTGATATGCAAAGTAGAGAGAGGTGACTACACAACAGTTACAATATAACCACAGTTCTTTATTCCACATACATACATACCCTTCCTCGCTATTGCTGTCAATAGATCTATGTGTCTAATCAGTAAGATCACATTCTTTTTCTTCTTGCACAGCAACAGAAGGAATCTATCCCTTAGCTGTGATGAGAACACTTTTTCCCTGTCAGGAATTTTTCAGAATATTCCCTTCTGCATATAAAACAAGAAAGTGCCAAAGCTACAGCTTTCAACAACAGCCTTCAGCACGTGTTCCCTGCATGTTGTTTTCAGTAGCAAAGAGCAAGCACTGAGAACTACCTTGGAGTGGTGAAATGTCCTCACATCATAAAGACCATGAGTGACAACAGAAGCCAGAAAAGAACTCTTTGTCAACTGCGTTTAAATACCCACAGATGCAAATAGGCATTGAGTGGTGCTTTCCAAAACACAGGAACTACCCAGCTGTCTCTAGTTTCATTTCCTTCAAGCAACTATTGTGATAAGCTTCAGCTGGTAACTACTATCTGTCCCAAGCCACTTCTTCACATTGGAAATACCTCCTTCCTTAGACAGGCTACATGAGCTATCTACCACAAAACCCCATCACTAACTTGCTTTGACCTGGCTCTGCCAGTCCATGGAAGAGGTACAAGGCTGCACCACAAGTACCCAAGCTAGTTAAGACAAAAAAATCTTTTTGGAGGCACCAAAAGCAAGTGTGGAATTTATGGTGCCCTGCACGTTGAAAGAGAGAAAAAAAAAAAGAAAAAAAGACACAAAAATCAAATAATTATTGAAGTAGTTTTCTGCTCAGAAAAGCACCTGGTGATTTTGTGAATAAAGTGATACCTTTCCTCACTTGCAAAGGTAAAATATGAATTATTTTCCATGTTCTATAATGAACAGTCAAATCAATAACAAAACTATTAAATATTCCAGATACATTACCATGCTAGAGGCCAGAGTTTGCACCCTTCATTTTGAAGAAGAGAATAATTAAAGAGGCAGAATTAGCCTCTTGTGTCCGTCCACACAACAACCTTGTGCAGTATGTAGGTACCATTACCTCATTTTTCAGAAGGGGAAATTGTTGAAAAGAGGTGAATTGTCTTGCCTGAAGGTGCATAGTAAGTCTGGGAGCAGAATTCAGGTTGTGCCTTGACCTGACCGTTTCTCTCCACTATAACACATTAACCTTACTTCCCTCTCACTTTGTCTCCAGGGTTAAACCAAAAAGATATAGATATCACTGACAAAATGCACCCAGTCTAGCTTCAGTCTTTCTGCAGACTTTTGCTGCCTCAGAAATAATAGCTGTGATGGAGAACTGATAGCAGTTGTAAACAGGTGCCACAAAACACTTCCCTCATAGGACTTGGTTTCTGAGGTACATAAGACAACTCCCACTGCTTTCAGCTAGTCCAAGGTCTAAAATCTGGGTCCTTAAATATTTACAAGGCTATTTCCACTTTAATTAGAGCCCTTTTCCAGGCCCTGTCTTCTTTCCAGAATCCTAAAGTTACTTGATAAGGCACTTTATGGTCTAATTCAGGAACTTAAATGAGAGATGCAAAATCCTGTGGGTCACCTGTCACTTCCAGGCTGGCACTAACAAAGCACAGATCAGCATGTGAAAGCACATGTACCTGGGTCCAAGAGACAGATTGGCTCATTGCTTTACCAGTCCCACGGTACAAGAAAAACAAAGCCAGCCTTACCTCTTCATTCCCCAAGACAGCATCAGAATCATGGCCAGCAAGGAATTAAGTTACCTCAGTCCTCAACAAGGGTATCTAAATGTAGGAAGGCTGAGAGGAAAAGCAGGCCAATGGCAAATGTGGCTTGGAAGGATTCCACCACGTAGACAGAGGTCAGACTAAAATATAACACAACTGAAATTTTCTTGTACTAGAAAAGTAGCAGCAGAGGTTTCTCTATACCACTGCTGGCTTGTGGATGTAAGAATTAAAGATTATCAGCTTTTACATATATGCAGTGTTCTGTTAATGATTTACTGATTTAAAAGTACATATTACTCATACAATAGTTCAACGATTTGATACAATAACCTGCCTTCTCTTTATTTGGAACTGGATAAATTCTACATCTCCATGTTGATTGGAGGTACCTTGGATCACTTGATCATACCTGTGATCCAGACACAGATACCCTAGGTAATATAATTAAACTTCACTTTTGACTTCAGTGAGTTTGAATTTGGTCATGTCACATCTGACATGTGACTCTCAGAAAGCAGTAGACATCTAGCCCTGGATGTGGAGTGGTGACAAGACTCTATAGGTCTTCAGGCAACAGGGAGTAGTATAAAGAGTCCTTTCCTTGTTTGATATGTGCATTCTTCACTGCTCACTGCTTAGCGTGTTGTTTGCCCAGGCTGGGAATGTGTCCAGGTCAAACAAAGGTCTTCCCCATGTGTTGATGGCCAGTGTGACACAGAAGACTCCAATGATATTCATAACTATTCCAGATTTAACCTGCCCGAAAAAAACAAAAAGCATCAAACTAGCAATAACCAAACAACAGAATAGCAAATAACAGTATTCATTGGCCTACTTGAACATACATAAGAAAGAAACATCGTTAAACTAATGCACAAAAATAGCCACATTACCTACTGTCTTATGTTCATGCTTCAATGGCAATACCAGGAACTGTGCAAAGCTTTTGAGCATTTGCTGGGTAATTAGTACAGGAACTTTAAGTATTGTAAAATGAGTTACTTTAATTAGTTAAAGACCAGTTTCTGCCCCTTCACAACCCCAGTTAGAAAACTGGCCATGTGTGGGCAAAGAACCTGGCACTGTGCGGTCTAGCAATCAGAGGACCAGAGTCTAAAAAAAACTGACCATTATCTTCTGCTTTCAGCTCCTGTGGGATTATAGTGAAGCCTTCAGTTATACTCACCAATTCCCCAGGAAACAGTGTAAGGCACTGATTGTAGTTTAACCCCTCTGCGTTTATGAGACTGGTGATTTGCCAGTCTTGAATTGCAAACTGGGCTCTTTGTCTATCAAAGCCTGTGAGCAAGGTATTATTTCTTTAGGGATGCAAATTCTTATTCAGATATTAATGGCGTACAAGAAAGGGGTTCCCTGGGGTTGGTTACTGCCTATAAGAGCCCTCTAGTACTTTGGAAGCGTTAAGATACGTAAACAAAAAGAAGGTAAAAAAAAAATAAGCTTACATCATATTTCAGGGCAAGTGCAAGGGAAAATTTCAGATAAAAGAAACAATCATCTTACCATATCCAAAACACAGATGTGACCATAGGAGAACACTATTGCATTTGGAGGTGTTGCAACAGGTAACATGAAGGCAAAGGAAGCACTGAGAGTACCAGGCAGCATAACATACAAAGGATTGATCTTGATAGATGTGGCCTGCAGTACAACGGAGAGAATCATCACACTGGAGGCATTTCAGAAGGAAAGCAAAGAGAACATACTCCAGAAATTTAAGACACATTTTTGATAATCGGACTTATCTTTTTTTTATGCTACTCTAAGAACATGAAGATGAAAGAACCATTCAAAGGAATTAATAGAAAGCCCTGGATTATTTTTTTCCAATTCTGAGTTGGTAGTTCAAATAGAAAAGGACCAAAGGTAATATTTAGTGACCTGTGGTAAAGAAGCAAATCCTGCTTCACTTTCTCCAGCACCAAGGGGTACAATTGACAAATGAGCATTGCAGTGGGCTTGAACTGACCCCCTTATTTGGTAAGGGTGAAATAGGACAGGCATCTTTACTTAGCTTCTTCCTCTAAGAAATTGTTTTTTCAGGGTTCAGGCATATAGATAGGTTGTTTGTAGAAAGCTGACATTCCTACTGCCAGCTTTCTTATGATGCTATAAATGTCACAGTGATGGTAAAGATATAAATCTGACTCCATTTAACACTATCAGCTAAAGACATTATCCATTCCGCTATGATGTCAGATGGTCTGATTTGTTGTTTGCTTTTAGAGAAACTTCAGAGCTGCATACAAGACTGTAAATCTGATATTGCTTCTCTATTAGACACTGTCATTTTATCTCCAGTCTTCCAGATAGTATAACAGCAAGTAATTTTAAACTTACCAAGGATGAAAAAATAGGTAGGAAGAGAGTAGCTGTGGCAACATTACTGGTGCATTCAGTGAAGACAGCTATAGCAAATGAAATTATTACAGCAATGGCCCATGGTGGGACAGATCCTAGTGTAGTCATCTGCTGACCCAGCCAAGCCGAGAGCCCAGAGTCCTGGCAAGCACAAAAAGGAAGTCTTTAGGAACAAGGAACTCTCACTATGTATGGCATTCCTGGCAAATAATAGTAAAGGATGCCTGAAACCAGACACTTGAAAGGCACAACTAAGTCATGCACAAATTGAAGAAAAAAACATTCACAAAAGTAAAACGTTATTTCTTGAACACTAAAGGAAATTCCTTGCAAACTAGATATGATACTTAGTCTCATTTTTTTTTTTTTCCCCTGGAACCCGAATACTTGTTCACACTTTGACTGCTAAAATATGTTTAGCTTTCTGCTAAACATGACATTATTTTTGAGTACTGCAAATAATTAATGAACCACTCACAACATACCCAGCATACGCTTCTAAGGTTTCTAAAGATTCTGACTTTGTGTAAGTGCTCTGTTTTTGAGTATTAACAGAGATTGATGCAGCTTACCTAGCCTTCTGCTATTGAGCCAAATGGACAAGATCACAGGCCATGGCCTCCAGATCCAAACACTGAGAAATATTGCACTCCAAAACTTTCGTTTATCCAACGGCTTTCGAAACTTATTAGACAAAATTTAGACTTTAATAGGAATTTCCCTAAAATGAGGCACTGTTGAAATTTAAAGCTTTGATTTAGACCCACCTTAGTAGTGATGAAGTTAACAACATGACTGACCTCAAGATTCTTGCCTGTTTCAGGAACTCATCTGCTTTTTCCGTGAATTTATGAATACTGGATCAAACAATGGGTTTACAGAATGCAGTACCTTACCTAACAGCTGCCACTGACAAAAGATTCTGTAACCAGATTACAGATAGCCACTGTAAACAATTATGGAAATATCTACCTACCAGACCTCCAGGCCATTTCTTCCTGACCACTTCAGTAATGGTTTGGTTTAAACATGAAGGTTTAAACCTCTAGAGGTTCTGAAACTTTCATATGTGTTTTCTACTTCTATTTTTCTAGATAGGTCTGGAACCAAGGCAACAACACAAGCCATAAATGTTGCTCTTCTTGTCTGTTCAGCCTGTGAAGATCCCAAACTATTTGGCAGACTCCAAGAGCTCAAACACATTGAAGAACCTTGATCAAAGAATACAAATTCCTGAGAATTGTCAAAGATCAAAGAATACAAATCCCTCCTGAGAAGGAGACACAAACATTCACCTCTCCTTCGAGTTTTAGATCTTCACTTCACCCTGAGTTTGGGTGCATGCCCAGCAACATGGGACAAGATGACAAACAAAAGAAGCTTGTCTTTAAGTGGGAGATACATATACGTCAGAACATACTGCGCTTGCATCAGCCAAAGCGAAGCCTCCTCCCAGCAGCAGTACAATACTCCAAGGCATCTTCCTCTGAACTGCATTCCACTCTAGCAGCGGGGCTGATAAAAATGGCTTTGTCAAATCTGAAGTGAGAAGTGAAAAGCAGAGGACTTGTTGGGAGGGTGAAAAGACTTTGACTTCTGACCTACAGGATTCTAGACGGAGGGACCTGCAGGCAGAGGCACATTACTGGGAGACCCACACATCTCAGGGTAGTGGTAACAACTGGGATCCGTGCACCAGCCCTGACCAAGACGCGTGGGAGGAGGCATGCAATTCCAGCACTTATTTCCGTCAATACCATTAGCTGGAGCCTGACAACCGTTTCACAATTCCTCTTTCAAATACCTTCTTCAGCCTCCTCAGGATCAGAACTGCTTCGACTCCATATCATGAATTTCGGTTTACTGGCAGGAAGGATAAACAGTAGCAGGGCAATAAAAACAGCAACAGTGGCATCACTGACAAACCTAAAGAAGAAAAAAGGAAGCAAGTTAGGAATTAGGACACTTTCCTCTTAGGAGATGGCTTCCTTCCAGCACGGCAAGTGATTTGTGGTGGTTTTCCCATCACAACTGTTATGTTCTTAACCTGGCACAGCCATTACATAGAAGAGACATTCAAATCACAGAACCAATTTTCCAGGTTCTCTCTATACTCTTTTTTAGAGATGGTATTACCAAATGTTTGGTGACACCACAACTGACTGAAGCTCATACAAATAAATATTAATGAGTGCATCAGTGTGACAGAGACTAGAATTACAGAATTTTCTCTTCCTTTTGGAGGTTCAGCATGCTCCATGTCTCATTCTCCATTCTTCATTATAATATGAACTGTCAAAGATCACTTTTTGATCTCACACACGAGAGGTAAGAACATGCCTAGCAATCATATGAATTCAGAAAAGGTTGGGATGAATAGCCCAGAAGTCAAACATAAATGTAAGAGGGGGTATATTCATTGATATGCCTGAAGATGGTACAAGAGGAAAAACAAAAAACTTACTTTTCTCCTTTTGGGAAGAGTATTGAGGCCCAGCCTGGTATAAAGCCTGGGTGTCTGCTAAACCACAACAGAACTAGCAAAACAAATATCACAATGATATTGAATTCAGCATAAGAGATAGGGCCCAGTTTCTTCATTTCTGCCTTCAGCACATTGTACGCAGCTTTTTCTTTAGCAGTTTTCTCTGCCCTGCAGCCCCAGCTTTTTTTAAAGCTTTAAGAAAAAGGAAGGAGAAAATATTGTAAGTATTTACATACTAGAGTGATTTCACTTCACTCAAAAGTGGCTGTGAAATGGAATTGTTGTCTGCTGCAAAATTAACATAAATAACCTGTAACTGGGCTTCCCACTTGTCATAAATCCAGAAGCTTGTTCTCAGTGAGCTCGTCTATCCAATATCATGTAGTTCATACTTACTTGAGGCCCATGAAAGAGCACTGTAGCCAAAGCCAAGCTAGTATCAACATCAGAAGCATGTTTGGGAACGCAAACCCAAACCAAGAAGCAAAATTCACGACATCATTGTTGTTGGGGTACAACCTGAGAAGAACAGAACAACGCTTTCTCTACTGTCAAAACATTTAGGAATCTATCCTCTCTATAATATATGCTTATAAGAATTAGCTAATCCCAAATAATCATTACAAATAATCTTAGGTAACATACATATCTTACTGAGGTCAGTAGGAAAAATTCCCTGAATTTCAGAGCGGCTCTTAAACAATCCTTAATTAATTTCACTGAATTTTACCCTAATGCATATAGCAGCTTATTGCTCCTATTTTAGGCCCCAGTAAATCAAACACTGCTGAAAAAGTCTCCTACACCTTCTAAGTGCTTCTCATTTCCAGCACACCTGCTCATTTATTCTCTGACAACATGTTGCTTTCCTCCTCCCTGTTTGCAATGCTAATAGGAGAGCAAGAATTGTCTCCTCTTGTAATTAATAGCTGCACTTCAACTAACTTCAACAGAAGACAAAGTTGCTACTAGGCTTAGAAGAATGAAGATTGAGTTTTAGTAGTAGCAAATTTTAATTCCTCTATACATCCATCAATGACATTTGGAGGAAAATATGAATAGCAAATTTTCAATTGGGCCTAGAAAGTTTCACTTTGGCTAGTTGAGTCTTAAAATCAATGAATAACGTGGCTGCTGGGGAGGCATAGGTTCTCCCAAAGAAGGAAGCAATGTTGAGAGAGTGGTGTGGAATCTGCAGAATTTCCCCTGCAGAGATGATTGCATTTAATTCAGTTCTCAAGCTCAGTAAGACAGTATTTTGTACATGCCTGCTTGATAACAAGATCCATGCAGTTTCCACAGCACGGAATAATAACCTTACAGGAATTTCCATGCTATTTTTAGCTCTCTCTGGTGTACTTATGAGAAGAGGTAATCATACATTCTTCTCATGTTCCTCTCTGCAGTTTCTCTGATGTGTTGCATTTCAGTTGGGAAGGAGGAGACAGAAGAACCAATACCTCATAATCAACCAGCTCTCTGCAGATTGCCAGCGAGTATTTCCAAGCTTCTAAGGAGACCTATCATACCAGCACTTTGCTGCCTTAGAAAGGTTGCAGCAGAAAAATGAAGCCCATCACTTCATACATATTGCTCAGTCTTAGCTTATCAGCTGGTTATTGCTTGGAGTTTGAAATTGAAGCTATGGACTAAGACTTTAGTCTGTCATTCTGAGAAGCTCTGTGAGTGTAAGTGGAAGGAAAAGCAAGAATTACTTACTGATTAATCTGGCCCTTCAACACAAGATTTGGCCCTGTTCCAGTGAGTGTTGCAGTTCCTCCAATGCTGGCAGCATAGCATATACAAAGTGTCATTCCCTTGCATATACGTTTCTTCATTTCCATTTCCTCAGAAGATGTGGGGTCATCAGGGACTTGTCCATTGCTTATGACTAGACACAAAGGACATAACTTGCCTCAGGTAAAGCAAGGGATGCAGAGAGTTCAAGACAGGGTCTACAGACTCAGTGCTTCTGGCTTGTCTATGCCATTTATTTTAATTTTTAAAAACAATAATATTTAAGACAGATGTTTATGACAAGCTGTTACAACGCTTACACAAGACTAATAGCCCTGGTCTACATGTCTCAAGGATACTGTGCCACCGCTTCCCAGCAGTAATTTCCCCTTTCACAGACAAGCTTAACACCATCTAGATACCATCCTCACTGGAACTCTTTCAATGCCAGAGTAAGAATCCAGCTAGCTTTAACAACTATGGATATGGCAGAAAACAAATAAACAGAAAAGGATATCTTGTCTGATGTGTTAAAGTCAATATGTTATGTCAGTTGACATCAAGTATGAAATTTTGCTGCTGTGTCCACTGTTCTCTGATGTTAATAAACTGTCTTAAAGACTAACTGGACTAACTGAGCAGGACAATGCATTTATGGCAATTATAAACCACTCAACTAAGCTAAAGAATATTTTTCACTCAAACTGGTTACCTTCACTATAAGTTAGAGGTAAACTAGTCAGCAACGCCAAGCAGTTCCTTCTAAGAGGACAGAAATCCAGCAAAATTATTATTACTGGTCTGACAGCAGAAGTCTGCTTGGGAGAGCCAAGAATCAACATTAAAGAGGATATTTGCAAATATTAAAACTTACTTTCAATACAACTCTTCAGAATCTAGCAACTAGCAACCTTATCAAGCACTATGCAACTAAGTGGCTTTTTTGTGGACTTGCATGTCTCACATAAGCATAATGCCTGAGTTTCCCACAATTCAGAGAAGATCAAGGTCATAGCTGAACAGTATTTCAAAGATGAATATGGCAGTCTTGACAGCCTCAAAGCAGGGCAGTGTCTGGTCACACATGAGCACCATTCTCCCACACAATGGGCATGTGATCCACAAGAGGGGAATGGTTTGTCCCTGGTAGAAGGCTTGCATTACGGGACATGGCACGCATTACCAACATTTGTACTCATTCTTTCACAATCACACAGGGAATCATGGCTGAGCAATTTGCTAGTTCGGGGAAAACACATCTCCTTGAAAAGGCCTAGAATAATCCTTCCTCCTCTGAAAGAAAAAGGTACCATAGCTCTGTTCATCAATGATGCAATGGCTCTCTGTACCAGAACAGCAAGCCAGTAAGAGAAGAGGGGATGAACGTGTGAGTGGTTTAACCCAAGTTAAACTTACTGCAGAGTCTGAGCATAGACAGGAAGAGAGGAGAAGTCAAGGAGCATGGGAAGATAATATTTAGTTTGCCAAAAAAACAGTTTATCTACAAGGAGAAGAGAAAGTTTTTGTTCAAATGATGCTGGATTTCCCCCTCACATAGCTTTTAAAGTGTTCCTCCTTCTTCCCCCCATCTCTGCACACATTCTGGTTAATAAAGGGATATTTATGACACCAAGATCAAAATAAGTTGAGACTGTACAAAGTTTTTCAAATATTTGTATGTGAATTAGGAACTCAACACCCACCAATAAAAAACATGGAATTCTGGAGATATTGAAAGATATTTCTCACAGGATGCTTTTCACACTCCTGAGCAAACAGTTAATTCCAGGGAAACTATGGGGAGGATGAGCTCTACTCACAGAAAAGAACATAACATCTGTGTTAAATCTAGAACTAAGCATAACAAAATGGCAGCCACCAATATTAAGTCATTTTGGAAAATCTGCATGTGATGGATGCAGTTCAGGGCTTCCATTCAAGTTACCATTCTTTCTTCTTGGGAAAAGTCCAGAGGATTTGTCCAAAGTCAGTGAACTCTGACTGTTGCAAGTTCAGTCATATCAGCTTGTTCCCTAGCAGTCCCTTACCCTGCACTGAAGTGGGATTGGATATGTCCTTTTCCTCCAACTCAATCACTGCATTAGTTTGCCCGCTTGCTTCTTCTGTCATTCTGAGATCCCGCTCTGTGTTGTCCATTTGGTCCAAGACTGCCTGCACAATGGGAACCATCATAGCAGTGGTGGCTGTGTTACTTATCCACATTGACAAGAAGGCAGTGACTCCCATGAAACCCAACATGAGGCTGAAAAGAGAGAAACAAGCAAAGGAGAAAGGACGGAAAAAAAAAAAAAAAAAAATCATTTCTAGGCTTTACAGTCATTCTGACCCAGAAAGAAGAGCTCAGACAGGAGTGTGTGCAGTTTTCAGCAATGCAAGAGGACCCAATTCCCAGAGATATTTCCTAGAATAACTCTGTCATCTCCGCTGAAGGAATCCCAGAAAGGCATTTGATTCCTTGGTCCATATGACTAAGTCTGCCATCATTTTGTTCCCAATTGTAGACATCTATATTTTAGCTAGATCAAAATTAAATAAAATGGTAGTTTTGTAAGAGCAAACCATGAAGTAATGTTATTTCCCTAATTATTACCATTAAGATAGAAAACAACTCTTTTGGATCCTACAAATTTGGCTTTTGGCTGCAGATGCAGAATAATGGATACTGGATGCTCTTCATCAACACTGCCTTTGCTAAACTTAACTCAAACCACGGGATCACTTAATCATTCCAAAATGAGCATGTACACGTGGCTTCCTACATGCTAACTGTACTTGCATTCGCAGAGATGGTGAGGAGGACCCTGCATCACATAGTCTGTGATTGATGTAATTCAATTTCCTAATTCACCTAATCAATGAAAGACAGCACATAAAGTAATAGGTCAGCTGGGTAACACTAGCAGAGTTAAGGTGTAGTTTTACAAAGATCAAGAGTAGGTTTCATCTTGGCTGGCTGATTTCATATATGAACAACATAGGTACTGCTTTGCAGTAGATGGGCATGAATTGCCTGCCCTTTTTAGATATCAAGTTTCAGGTGAGATGAATTTCATCTCTGGAAATTCCTGTCCCTTTTTGATGACTGCACAGACTAGCTATTTGAATCAGAAGTGAATGCCTGTGTTTGGAAAAATGAATTCCACCTGAACACTCTCATCCGGGAACCAAACCGTGAACTCCGTGAAAAATGCAAAAGCTGGGTTAGTTACTAAAATTAATGTAAAAATATTTTACATCTATTCAAGACATTTAGCAGAAAACTGAGAAAATCCTAGCTTGGATCAGCTCATACTGCATCTGTGGAAAATCTGCTTCCAGCTCATGGGAGAGCTGGTCATACGTTAGTCACAGGGGCTCTAATGTAAACCCCTGTAAAGTGTCCCTGTGGACAGACTTCATCCCTGGTAACCCTGTATAACAGCAATAAAAAAGTTATTGGAGCTTCCTTTCCACGCCACTCATTGTGCACCTTCCCTGGACCTCAGCTGACTTGACACAGGCTGGAAAGGGGTCAGGTAATGCTCTTACAATGCAGGTTTCACCCCAAGAATCAGCAGGACCTTCAGGGCAATCCTTTTGTGGAGATTCCACTGTTCAACAGCAATTGCGACAATAAGTCCCCCTATGAAAAGCATGTTTGTTTCCTTTAGGTACTGCAAGCACACCTGAAACAAAGAGAAGGTAGGTCAGGGGCCTCAATATAGCCTCTTGCTTGTTTCAGCAGTACACATCACCTTCCACTATCCCAAAGCCTTTCACCACACCAGACCCCACCTCAGCATCATCAGCTGGAGCAGCTGCAGCCTCAGAGCTATTTGTGATGACCCAAAGTCTTGATTCTTTGTTTAGATGTTAAATTGGCTAGTACAGAACTGTTACTACAGCATTAACCTTCTTTTGGGGACCACCAGGTAATAAAATACAAAATGACAACAGTTTTCTATATGATTGTCAGGGGCTCAAAGTATTACATAGGTATCAGGGATGCTAAGCTCCAAAACAGATTTCTCAACATCTTTAGGACCCATACACTTCCCTCTCACTGGCACACAGTCATATTTTAGCAGAATGAGCTTTGGAAGGGACACAAGGTGCTTGCTGGCAACATGCTGTCTACCCTTTCAAGAGGAAATCAGCCTCATTTTGAAATCTCCTGTAGAACACAACTGAACTTAAAAGTAACCGTGGTCTCATAAGATGGATATGAGCACACCAGCTTTAGAATCAGACCTCTCTTATTGCATGAAGAGTAACTCCAGAGGCTCCTGGCATTTCAGGGATGTTCTCCAGGGGGATGCACACTTACAAATGGACTTTCCGCTCTATGACACCAATCCTCACACCTTTTATCTTCTGGCAAAAATGTATTAATTTCAGCACGTTCGCATACATGAATGCTGAATACTGCTTAGTATTTTTCAGAATACCACCACAGGAGAGGCACACTTCAATATTAAATGTATTTACTGCATATTGATTGAGAGATCAGAGCAACGGATACCCTCATTGTATCTGAATTCATCCTTACTGTTTTAGAGTCCTGAACTCCAAGCAGAGGGAAAAATACAACAGGCATGAGAGAAGTAACAGCCAGTGGGATAACTTCAGTGCACCAGTACACAGCCATGACCATGATGACATACGCACATTTGGCCTCCTGCAATAAAATGCAAGACACATTTAAGCATAGATATCTGTTCTTAAATATGAGAAACATTCCTATCTATCTCAAAGAGACCGAACTTTCCTTTGTCATCAGCTTAACCAGGTATGCAGAAATAGGCAATAGGGTCATGAGGATTTAAACTGTTGCACTTTGAGCTTTGTTCTGAAATCACCTGCAAAAAAATAGGTCTTTTTTTTTTTTTTTTTTTTTTTTTTTTTTTGCCTCAGCTGTTCTAATGCAGCCGTGTGGAGCATAGGATATGAAGGAAAACCCTTCCACAACCAGATAAGAACGCTGCTCTGGGTTTAGATGCCGGTTAGCAGCCAGTGTAAGGAGGAGATTTCAGCTTAGCTGCTGATTTAGAAGTCAAGAACTTTTAATAGCGCTTATGGATTTGGGAGTGTCCATTTTGAGTATTTATTTTAAAATGAATGGCTAAATTTCCCAATGTGGATGCTTGGACTGTCTGGAATTCATATATCCTTGAGGGGTATCTGATCAGGCACCTGAGCACAGAAACAGACTGCATCTGTGAACAGTTCAGCGGCTCTTAGGGAACTTTGTTATTTCTTTATGGCTAAGTAAATACTTATATATTAACTACAACACCTACAGCCAATTCAAACAACCAAAGTTCTTGGGTTAAATACATGTATATATAAAACTATGATTTATAGGAACAGTCACAGAATGCTTCTTTGGTGTTTCTAGACAGTCCACAGGAAACAGTCATCTGTCCTTTCCTTGGAGTTGAAGAAGCAGCTGCTGATAGAAATGTTATACTCCCATTGTGAAATGCTGTAATTTCCCAGGTTTGAGTGGTGACACAAAATTCCTACAAATACCGGAAAATCTAGGAGATACTTCAGGGAAATCAGCTTTCCTCATATTAATCATGGTAGTGCCTAACAGTCAGAAATCGATTTTTCTTTAAAGCACCCATGTTCAGCTGAAAGGTAGGGTGATATTACTTCCCCAGGGGAGCCAGAAGGAGTGGCAGTACTGTCTGCACACATGCATGAGACTTTTTCATTAGTTTAATATTGAATGACACAGATCACTCATCTCAAAGCTTGGATTTGGCATTAAATTCTAAGATAGTGTAAAATGAGGTTTTGCAGTTTGCTGGGAAGGTGGTGAGGTGTCACAGAGCTGCGGCTTGGCACGGCTGGCACCAGAAGTGCCTTGCGCCTCCCGCCTGGTCCTACGGCCGGGGCGCGCGGCCGCGGTGCCTGGGACAGTGTGGGCCGGGCAGGGGCGCTCCGAGGCAGCTCCCCCGGACGAGGGAAGCGGCGCGGGGCGCTGCGGGGCAGCTCCCCCAAGGCGGGACAGGGCGGGACGGAGCGTCCCCGGGGCAGCTCCCGCGGGCGCACGCAGAAGGCAGCGGGAGGGCTGCGGGGCGCGGGCACTCACCGGGGTGGGCACGGCCAGGGGCAGTGGCAGCAGCAGCAGCGGCGGCAGCAGCAGCAGCGCGGGGCGGCGGCAGCGTCGCGGGCAGCGCGGGCACGTCGGGGCCATGATCTGCGGGACACGCGCCCGGCGCCGCCGCCACCGCGCCTTAAGTAGGGGCGGTGCGCGGGGCGACACCCGAGGAGCCGCCCGCCCGGCGCCAAGGGGACCCGGCCCAGCCCCGACGGCCGCCCGCGTCGCACCACAGCCCCGAGGACAGTGGCCGGCCCCAGCCCCAATCCCGAGTGACAATCCCGAGTCCACTCTCCTGACGGGACACCCAGCCACCCCAGGCCCTGAAGGGACATCAGTCCAGACCCCTTCCCTAAGGGGATAGCAGCCTAGGTCCTAGCCCCAAGGGGACACCCAACCACCCCAGGCCTGAGAGGGACAGCAGCCTGGACCCTGACCCCAAAGGGGACACCCAGCCACCCCAGGCCTCAAGGGGACAGTGGTCTGGACCCCAACCCCAAGAGGACACTGGACCACCTCTCTGCTCCTTCAGTGTTGCCCTGCGATCCCTTCAGGAACCCCTCTGCTTCACAGACACTAGTCCTACTCCCAGAGCCCCCTCTCAACCAGGACCTTTCTCTTGCTCCAGCCACAGGGGTGTTTTAAGGAAATCCTCCCTGTTCATAGTGCTTCTGGTAGTTGCTGCTACCCAGCTCTCATAGTGCTTGTTGGGGACTAAGGTGCTGGCACAAGGCTTCTGTTGCACTGGAACTATCAGATGTCCTTTTGTCAGAGGAGGACCTCTCACTAATTTAAGCAGTGGTGAGGAAGGAACAAGCTCCTTGAGGGGCCTGGAGAGTTAAAACTACAGCAGGGTTCTCCCCAAAACAAAGGTCTGTGCAGGCATGCATGGCTGTGCTTCACAGCCCATTGTTTTGAGAGAGTTTGTGTGTCTGTAACCTGGGTTAAAGATAACCCATGAAAGGTTAACTCAAAAATTATATTTAATCCTACCCATGTCAGTGATTTGGTCTATAGGGCAGACACAGCCAGAAGCGATAGCACTACTGAAGGGATGGCAAGCCCAATCAGAAGGGCAGAAAGGGACAGCTGGTGGCCTGGAGGGAAGAGATGAGAAAGTAGAATAAAGACAAAGAATCTGTTGATATTTGTGTATGTTTTTGGTCAGCCCCCTGAAACTGATGGCAGTAGGAATCATCTCAACAATTTGATCCTGCAAACTCTTAGTAGAATCTTACCAAGACCCAATTTCAGATCCCACAACAAATAATGAGGGAGCTTTGGCTACAGCTTGCACTATTTGTCCTCATCTGACCAGAGGGGTGTAAGTGATGGTTCAAAACAAGATATTCTAGTATAGCTGTTCTGTCTGTAAAAGCAATGCATGTCCACTCAGAGTAGCTAACCAGATCTGTGCAGATTCCAAGTCGCCGAACCTTTAGCAGCAATCCCTCTGGGTAACTTACCAACACAGCAGGAACTTCACACCAGTGTAAAGCCCAGCAGAAAGTGGGGAAGCAGCCAAAACTTGCATTCCTGTTGCCAATCTCCAATGAAGAAATGCTCCTTATTCAACACCACCGCAACAAATTATTGAAAAAGAAAATGAGTTAACTCTAAAGGAGTTGTGCTAAGGTTAACTTTACCTAAGAGACCAGTGCAGATACTATCTATTGTCTTGTTATTTAAACTGTGCAGGTTATTTCAAGTTTGCCTTCAGCATGGTATCAGAAGTATGTTTGCAATATGGAACACATCAAAATGCTGCACGAAAAGAACAAGCAACTGCATACTAGGAAGTCAGGCTGAAGTACACTCTTCATTGGTATGAAGGGTAGCTACATAACCAGAAAAGAAGAATATTGAGGGAAAAAAATGAGAAAGGCTGCTTTCAGAGAAGGTGGAAAAGTTGTGCAATGCATAGTCAAGATGAAAGAAAGGGAGACAATGATGGGATGAAATAGGGGAGGAACAGGAATGATGCAGGCTAAGGTTGGGCACTGCTCTCAAAGGATGCAGCACACTCCAGGAGAGAGAAGGGTGAAGAATCTGTTCTCAGTTTGGCAAGCCCTCCAGTAGTTCTGCATCCTCCTCAGATCTGCACATACAGCTCAGATACATTTGGTACTGCCTGGATCAGAGAGTACTACAGGGACAGCAGCTCTTTCATGTAACTTGCCCATGAACTTCCTCATCAGTGTGCCAAGGGGCTGAAAGGAGGACAAAGCTTTGGCTGCTTGTTTCCGGAACTAGTCTGACAGGCAGGCAAAAGGAAGCTGCAAAGGACCACGATGCTCACAAAACCTCCAGCAGGAGAAGGTTTAGAGGGTTCAGAAAGAGCATTCAAACAAAAATCTCCCACAGCCTGAAATTCAGTTCACAGTAATTGAACACTAACTGCAGGACTTCAAGAGAAAAATCCTTCCCGCTAGTCAGTGTTGCTCCGAATATAGCAGAGACTAGAACAATATTTACAAAACTGAAATATGTGGTTTCACAGCCTTTATCTACTTCTTTAAAGGTGGTAAGTGAAACAGCTTTTAGTGCAAACACCATTTGAAAACTGAAACATGTAGCTGCTTTTGGACTTAATTCTGATACCTTGTCATTGAATGGGATCTTGCTCTCAGAGTTCTTCTTGGTAGTAAACTTCCAATCACTTTATAAAGAAAGACAATATTTGTGTTATGAGGAGACTTAGGCATAGCGGTGACACCAAGGAGAACTGAGAGTTCAATCAAATCTCTTAAGGCCTTTCACGTGTTACCAGCCCCTGCTGCTCCCATTCGCAGCTCTGCAGACAGTTTTCCACCGTAATAACCACCAGGACTTAAAAGCATTTCAGGAATGATGACCAATGAGTTTCAGAAAAGCTTTTGACTTTCGTTTCTATTCCATAGATCGCGACACTAAAGCCTGAGGGTGTGCTGACACACTCAGTATCACACAAAATGCAACAGAGATGGGAGGAGAACACAGATTTCCTCAGGGCGTGATGCAGCAACAGAGCCAAGCCCACCTAATTGCTGCCACTGACAGGTCCCATCCATGCCAATAGGCCCTGGATTTCCTACTGCTTCCCAGCCACTGGTTCTGAAGTTTACTGGAACCCTTCCTCAACTCACTGAATTGGCGGAAAACTAACTTGGTGAAGAAAGCAGGATGTTTTCGGTTGAGTTATTGATCTGAATAGGTGCAATGAAGTGTTCAGTGAGCACCACAGCCTGCACCAGAGGCTGGGCCAGTTATGTCTAGGGCGAGAACAGTGACGGTTGAAACAGTAACGACTGTTCTTTTCAGACGTAGCAAGTTTGTAGATGAGCTTAGCAGCACTATCAGGCCACATGCAGAGCCTTGTGATCTTTGCTCTTGTACCAGAATGAAGAGAAACCATCAAAAATGTAATTTCTAAGTGATATGAGCACTCAAAAGCAGGACACTGCAAGAGACCACTTAAAGGCTGACATATCATTTGGATTAGTGGACAGGGACTAGAAGTCTCTTGGTGAAAGAGAAATTCCAGGTTCATAGGGCTACACAATAAAATTGGAAAGAATTTAGAGTCTGGCTCATTTCCATGAAATTGTGGTTTTTGACATCCCACATCTGCTACAAGTCTATGACCCCAGGTGCTGCTGTTTTCTCTGGACAGAAATATCCTGTGGCAACAAGGTTTTGCAGTTAGCAGTTGATTACTTTAGTTAGAAATACAAATATTTTTCATCTCCAATTCAAATGCTGACCAACCACAAGATTACAAACATATCTGACTGCATAAAAGCAATTTGTTTGACCCAGATAACTGCTAGGTAAAGACAAAATCTTCTCTCTCCCCTCTTTTTTTATTTTTATTTTTTTTTTTTTATTTTTAAGTGTTATTTACAATGTTGCAGGCTCTTTGCAGCACCCAGAGATACAAAATTTTGACAAAATTATGACAGTAAGAACTCCAATGCTTGACAGAGAAAAACAAAAGCCAAACAACTGATCCTGAGACATGCTAGTATTTAGCCAAAATCAAATCAAAACAAAAAAATCCTCTACCTAGGCTTTTAAAGATCACGCTTAAGAAACAAGCAGTTCAGATCTTACCTCTGTGTGATGCTTGGCTTGAAAAAATGCCTAAAAGATGTCTTGTACAATAACATTATGCACTGGAAGGTTCACAGGGGGGTTCAGATAGAAAGAGTTATTACTGGCATTCAGTGAACAACACTGTTTCTTTACCTTCTGTTTTCCCTCCAGTCAGTATCTTCACAGTTGCTGCCTGCTCACTGTTGCTTTAGGAGTATTCTTCACTCAGTTCCCAGTGGAGCATCTGATATTTTTCCAAGAAAAGCTTTTGAGACTCTGAACGAGCAGTTCTTTCAGTACAATCCTTGTGCCCAGCAACTTTCTACATAAAAGCCCTCATTATGAATTTTGAGTCAGTGGGGTTTTCTTAGTCAGCGTGTGATCAGGCTTTCTTGCGCTACAACATTTATCCCTTATAGATGGCATGAAGCCGTAAAGCACATCCAAATACTGAGCAGGCTAGTGACCACAATAGCAAAACTAAAACAAAATCACATTAATTTTTTTTATTTGTAATTGGAAACTCTGTAATCCTCTCCTTTAGCTGCCATCTCATTAACATATTTGTTCAAAAGCCTTTTCTCTGCTTCATTACATAATTCGTGTTACAGTATCTCCCGCCAAAAATACCAATTATTTCAGGTCTACATGGGTTATTGGACTTCTTTTTTTTCTTCTACTTTTATTTTTCCCAGAGAAAAATGGTATACAGAGAAGGGTTTTAAGGTTGGAGAATAAACCATACCAAATTGACAGCCTCCGAGTAACACCTAGAGTATCTTTAATATAGGACATTACATTACACAAATATTACTGAATTATTTTTCCTAATAGTTCTGCCAAGTAGAACTATTGTCCCTGTTCTACAGGCTGAGAAAGTCAATCCATCTCCTGTGATCCACTGACAGGCAGGGCCTGCTGCAACTGCAGCCTCTGATAGCAAGTCAGTCATTCCCATCCATGGCCACATCTGCCCAGGGCGCAGAGAGAAAGGGCAAAGCTAGTTAGTACAGGCCGGAGGCTTCAGCTTGCTCACACTGTCCTGAAGGGTTATGAGGGTCACTGGGGAAACAGTGGGGTCCAGGTGTCATCTGCGGCAAGTATGTGCAGCCCCTTGGTGGGACATATGGTGCAAGGACAGAGGAGGACTGCTAGGCTTCTCCCCAGTGGGGATGGTGGGTGATGACTCCCTCTCTGCCATAGCTGGCTTTCCTCATGGCATAGGCATTGCTCTCAGCAGGGCAGGCCAGCATCACCTCGGGGAGGCCAAGATACCATGACAGAGATGGAAGGCCAGACATTAGGATGACGGTGGCAGCGGAGGTGCAGCCAAAGTCCTGCAGCTGAGACTAGCATGGGCGGCTGAGATAACAATGGCCATGGTGACACTGCGAGCGGCGAGGCTGCCACAGGCCGAGCCGCCAGCGCGGCTGCTGCCTGGGCGCCTCTCTCACCACACTGCCTCTTGCAGGTGGCTTCATTCCTGGTCGTGCCTTATGGTGTGCCCTCTTCTCTCGTGCCTGCCTCTGCTGGAATACGATGCCACGGTTATGAGTAAAGCCTTAGTGCAGGTGAGTTCACAGCAGTGACCAGTCACCATGCACGGGTCTGACGGGTGGTGGTGCTAACTGTGACGCTGCCAGTGCGGGGTGCTGGCAGAAAGGGGCCAGGATTTAGAGGCTGCCCACAGCCTCCGAGGATCCATGAGAAAGAAGGGGTCCCATCACTACATGTACCTCAGAGCTGCAGGGCTGCATTTGGAGCTCACCTGCCCTTGGGAGCCTGTGGGCAGAGGGAGGATGCACCCCATATGCTGTGGGAGACACTGCTGCCTGAGCAAGCAGCCTCCTGCTCTAAAAGGAGAGTGGAAACACCTTCCTCTGTGGGCAGTTCCAGGGTACAAAACTGCCTTTCTGTTAAAGAAATCAGTTACTGTGATATTCCTCTCTTAAAGCTTTTTTGGCTGAGCAGTTGTTTGAGACCGACTTATTGCCACAGTCGCTTTCAGTTTTTTTTTTTTTTTTTTTTTTTTTCTTTAGACATCCTAGATCAACTACTAACTACTGTTCATCCGTCTTCTGCTCTTATCATCTTTAAAAAGAAATACTTTTTCCTAAACAGACCTAGGAAATGGGAACACACGTAGACACATTCTGGTAATGAACAAGATTACACAAGACTTCTGTGCTTTTTTTTTTTTTTTTTTCTCTTAGCTCTTGAAGAAAAAAACCTGAGAAGGCTAAAGAGAAAAAAAAAATGACGGAAGAGAACAAGTTTTGCAAAAATTGGTATGAGATCTGTCTCCATTCCTGGGGATTGTGATAGTCAAAAGTTTGCTAAGATTTAATATTAATATCCCTAATATTATATACATTTAATAGAGAGAGGGAGAGAAGACAAGAGGGGGCATGTGCTAGAAGCGATGTGTTAGGCTAGCTAACAAGTACTAAGCAACAAAATTGTAGTTATTTTCACATTTGAAAGATGCTGTTTTCTTATTTCCTGGGGAGAGGTTCTTGATCCTTGCATAGACTTCTCCCATGTTAGAGGAGGGAAAGTCCTTGTTCTCTTTTTATGTAATGTCACTGGGAGCAATTTCTCAAAGGACGGCAAAGGAGTCAGTGGACAGATAGTTTAGCAGACAGACAGCTTGTCTGTTGCTGCATCTGCAGCTAAGTGACAAAGCCTTAACTGCAAGCTTTCATCTACAAGGTATCCCAAATATGCAAAAGTTTTTGGGTAATTGTTCATCTCAGAAGAAAAGCCTGAAATAGGCTATGAGAGGTCACGTAGTCTGGTTTGTTTTAGCCAGTAGCTTGTAGGCCACTAGGCTACAAGCTTCCTTCTTATAGGAAGGAAGACTGTGAAACACAGCAATTAGAAACAGATTCAAATATAACAAGGTCAAACAATAGCAAGGAAGGAAATATTCTGAACTAAAATAAAATCAATAAATCTTAACCTGAATTTCATTCGATCAGAAAACCATCACTACACTTTGCCCAAGAGAGCCTGAAGATCTCTAAAAGATTATAGGGGATCTTTTAATTAAGAGTTGCTGAACACTGATAAGATTCCTAGGCAGAACCTGCTACCTAAAACATCTTTAGTTTGATGTTTCTCTAATGAGTTTTTAAAAACTCTCTGCTAACCCAGATTACATATTCCCCATAGGAAATCCTTCCCAGTGCTCATCCATCATCACCATGAGAAGCTTCTCCTAATGTCTAAAGCAGATTTCTTTGCTGCAACCTCCTCTGAGGAAATTCATTTATTGCTTACCTCCCTCTTTGGGGCTTTACTGCTGTGTCTGCTCTGTTTTGAGGCTGGGCTCTTTCTAATTACATGGCCTCTTTTTGAACCCACTGGGCATGGTGACAACATCTCTGTGCCTCTCGGCTCAGAGGCAGTGTTATGTGAACAGAGCAGGTCCTTGGGCTGGGTTACCTTATAATTGCCTCATTGGGAGCCAAAAGGTGTGAATATGGGGATGGTTCATGTGACGCACAGAAACGTCTCCATTTACAGAGAGGTGTCTCTCTTCTGAAGCTGTAAACGAGATAAGCAGCTTTAGCTCTTCCTGAAACAAAAGTTATACCAGGAGCCTCTAGCCATTGCCCTTTCCCTTTCAGAAGTGTAATATGTAATAATATGTAATAAGTAATATGGCGGAACCTCCATAACAGAGCCCACCCTCCTACTTGACTCATAGAGATGAATGAGAACCACAAATATATATCCACAGTTTTTAGGGACACACTGAGATCATGCACTCCATTTCTGTACTCTGCAGTAAACGAGATGTGTCTGCTGCCAATTTCTCCCTCCATGAGGCCCACTGCCTGCGGTTTCTCACTCTTTGTCCAGAATGTGATGAACCAATTGCCCGAAAGGATATAAAAGACCATCATGCAGAAGCACATAAGCAGGTGAGGTACACTCCACTTCTGTCAGATTTCTCTTGCAAATATTAAAAAGCTCTGCCAGCTCTGAAGTATGTTCCTGTGTACTTAGTACTTTAAGAATATTTGAACTCCTATAATTCTTTAGTCACAAAATCTGGTACCAATTTGAAGCCTGAATACAAAGACCCAATTTTTTATTCTGTTTTACTAATTTCCTTGATTTAGCAGTTCCTTTGATTTCACTTGCATAACAAAATACATAAATAGGTCTCTTGGCAAACAACAAACTAGCATGCCTCCTATATTGTTGCATCTATCATAATTTAGACTGAATATCAACCCTATACCTTAATTAAACCTCAGGTAAAATTTTAAATACTTTTTTAAATTTCACATTGGGATCTTTCAGAACTGGATCCCTGCATGGAATGACATCTTCCTGCAGACTCATCAGATATAGTTCTCAAAATCTCAACAACATGACTCAAATGTGATAAACAAACATTTACCAAAACTTTGTATGTTACTGTGATGAAAATAATTGTGAGCTCATCACAGCAGCTTGAGTTGACATTGCTATATGAAAGCACTGACTATCCTGTTGTGCTCCCAATGAACCACTGCACGCTACACTTGCAGGTCAGATGTGATCTTTGTCACCATAGTATGCAGCAGTACCAGCTGGAGTATCACAAGGTAAGTGCAGAGAATGAGCATCGTCATCCTGTAAGCTAACCCCTATGTCCAGCCACCAAGAGTCATGCTAACATGAGCAACAACAAAAATAAATCCCTCTCTCCTGTCCTGGACCCTCATCAGAGAAACTTCCCAACAGTAGCACTGTTTTGGTATTTGCCTAATCTCCTATAAACACGCATATTTTGTGGTGGTTATTCATGCAGCCTGCTATGATATCCTATTTTAAGAAATAACCTATTCCTTTCTCATCCTTGGCATGTCAGGCTGCTCTTCTTTGCAAATTTCCCAAAGACATTTCTGTCCTACTCACACTACCTGCTTTTCCAAAAAGGAAGTTAGGCAAAATGAAAATCCTTCCTTACACAAGAAGCTGGCATAGGAGCTATCAAGGGCGAGCTGGCAGCAAGGCAATTGAAGAAGAGACACCCAAAGGAACTGGCTGCAGCTGAAAACTGAGAGCAGCCTGCCCCCCTCTATAACATTTCAGAGAACCAAAGCAGTGACCACAACAAGTTTCACCTGCTTCTGGTAGCCATGTATTGGGATTTCCTAGGTGAGCTTGTGCCCTCTTGCTGTCCTATACATAACAACACATCTTCACTGCTGTTGATTCCCCTTTTGCCTGATATTGCCCACATTCACCTAATTTAAAGCTAGCCTAAATAGGCCAAATCCATGCTTCTATTTGGCTGTGCAGATACTTTCTTAAACAGTGATTAATTCCTCTTATCTAGTCTTTTACTATTGATGGATAGTTCAGACTAATTTCCTCTGTTCATGTGCAGACCCAGGAATGCCATGAACGATCAATGAAATGCAGCATCTGCGAGCTGGAAATGCCCTTCAACAAGTTGCAGGAACACCTGAACAGCTGTGCCAGCCGAACAGAGTGGTGTTGGGAATGCAACAAATATGTCATGTACAAAGATCAGAACAAACACAAAGATATTTGCCTGAAAAGCAATCTGTCCAACCACAAGGAAGTTGTTGCTCTTGCCAGCCAGGAAACTTCAAAACCCAACACTGACCCTTCTCAACCTTCTTCCTCTCTGTCTCCCTCTTCCAATTCTGAGAATGCAATGGCATGGAAAGATGTCTGTCTCAAAAGGAAAGAAAGAGACCAGCCATTGACCTCCAAAACCTTGCTCAAACCTCCAAAGAAGAAAAAGAAAGTTGTTTTTCCTTCTTCCACAAGGAGTGGGCTTTCCACATCACCTCAAGCTCTTAAAGACACTCTGTGTTATGATATGATGGTCACCTGTGCCCACTGCAACATTCTCCTACCACTTTCAACCCTCCAAACACATGAGGTGAGCAGTGACACTTTGGGCTTTTTCTCTTATGTGCTTAAATAAGGGGCATACCTACCTGGTCACTACACATCGTCTGAAGTCCCAAGGCCTATTCCAGAGCTACATATGAAATGCTGGCTGTATGTGTATCTACTCCATAACGCATGGAATTGTCTAATTCTGTTAGCTATTTATGCTCAGATCCACAAAGACTAGCTTCATTGCCTACAACCTGCCATAGAGTTAGGAAAAAGTAACATGAATTTTAAGGTCAAATCCTGGAAAATCGTTGGCACTCTCCTTATTTTCTATAGGCTGATAGTGTTCTTTCAAAAAGATATTATGAGTCTATTCTCTGTCACAGAGATGCAGCTTTAGAGAACTTACAGTCCCACCACAGGGGCTCAGTCACCCCCTACTGAATATAATTGCATGCTGAGTATAATATTCATCTCTCCTCTAATACGATTGTTATTTTCCAGGTCAAGTGTCTACATTTGACAACTTTACAAAATACTAGGATGAAGCCAAAATCAAGTGATGGAAAAGAAGGTACTGCAGAAATTGTGAAATGTAGAGTAGAATTTGTTGTCCATGATTATTCCATACTGGGCAAACTGGAATAGTGCAACAATATTTTGCAGATGAAGTATATCTGTAAAAGTTAACATTTAGAATACCAGAATATTGTAAGGCTCTTTGGTATTCCAACACACTGGTTCCCAGGAGGTAGTTGGGAAGACTCAATACATAGATTTTGTAACAGAAGAGTGAAAAGAAGGCTAGACTTTCCACTTGATTAGAACTCAAACAAAAATAAGTACATAGTAATTACATGGATTATTTGACTTGCATTATGATTCTTCAGGCTATTCTACTTAGTATGTCAGTCTCTATGTCATCATAGAGACAGGATGACTGCAAAACTGTGAATATCTCTTTAAAAAGACTGATAATTGGGTTTTGTTTGTTTTACAGAAGGCTCCTTCTAGACACTTGTGCTTAAATTTGGGAACAGAGATGCAACTCCAGAACGAAGCTTCAGTTCATCCTTAACAAAAGGGACTGAAATTGCACTAGCTCTACTGACACAAATAAAAGTTACTCATTACTCTGGATGAAGAATAGAAAGTGGTTTCAAATTTTATTCTTTGTTAAGAGAGGCCTTTAACAGATTTCACCAGAAAAGTGGTTTTTTTTCAGAATGAATGAAAGATGAGGTAAAGAGTCTTGGATCAGAGGAGGTGGAGGGGGGAAACTCAGCAACTGACAACAGCGTTTCCCACCTGGACACCCAGACTTTAAAGATATCCTGTCAGGGCTGGCCACGTGCTCAGATGGGGCTGCCGTGGTGTCAGCTCGCCAATGCTCATGGATGGAGGTGGACACAAGCGTTCCATATGCATCCATGGGTGGCAGGATGGGAGAATGGCAGCACCTTCAGAGTCCCAGGAAAAGCCCAAGGTCACCGTGAGGGGCTCGCACTGGGGGATGCAGAGGAGGATGACAGAGTGCTGTGGTGCAGCCCTGCCTCTTCATGCGAGTGTTTTATTTCCCCACGTAGTGTCTGTTCACAGGAGTGTTCATTTCCCATTGTTGCTGAGCTGTCCTCACTGCAGTCTCCCTTCAGAGCATCAGTCTTTCATCCTCCAGCATTGAGCTCCCCCAGCTGGACATGAGATGGAAAGATGCCTCTCTGCTTCACCTGTGCTTAACATTCCCTTTGCAATTAGTTCTCACTGGTTTACTTACATTTGTGGTTTACATTTTGACTCTGTTTAATAAAAAAAATTCTGTTCTTCTGTTCTGCCGGTGAGCTTATGCAGGCTGAAGGCACATAGGAAAGGCTGTCTCCTTTGCTTTTCAGTCATCCATTATAATTTAAAATGCAGATATATCTACTCTGTGCTCTCGCACAGCTAGTATGGATTATTTAATTTTTTCTACTTCCAACTGTAATAGTAATATAAAATGCCTAATTAGCTAGTTTGTTAAAAACAAACACCAATTTCTAGTTCGTTTTAGATGAATCTTGCCAATCTGTCCCTTTGCGAAATAATCTGTTTGATTTAATCTTAGCCACACATCAGTGGTCTGCACACAATTTGCAAACAGGCTGTAGGGATCTGCAGGCAGCATTTGCTCAGGCAGAGCTGTGCCTCATCAGTGTTCCAACCAGGGGGAGAGACGAATGTGTCCAAGCTGAGGAGGTGCAGAGGCCAGGACACTCTTGCTGGTGGCTTGGCCATGCTCTTGGTAACAGCACTGGAGCTCACCAAGGGCTGCAGGGATGATCAGAGGCAATTTTGGTGAAGTTCTCTGCATATATTTTTTATTTGTTATCTCTGTGTGTGTGTGAATATAGATACGTCTATAGGAGAAGGTCGACAGTGTTGCTTAGGGCTCACAACGATGCTGCGGAACGGCTCCTTTTCTCAACCTACGTGGTGGCCATGAGTCTATCACTGGCTGTGGGAAGGCAAATCCCACTAAGGGCCAATGTGTTTTGTTGGGGAGAGTTCAGCTGTACAATCCATTTGACTTATGACAGTTGGGAGCTGGGACATTGTGCAGGCTGATTTCACAGTTTTTCTCCCCTTTCCCGAGTCAAAAGCAGCAGCAGAAGGCTGTGAACAGTTTATGGCATTACAGCACTTAAGGGCCTTAAGTGTTGGGTTTCTCAATTCTTTTTAGAAAGGCTACAGATATAACTGTGAGCAGAAATGGTCTAAATCAGCAAAAAGGCTTCCCACCTTCCTATGAGTTACCTTTGTCATCCCTAATGGAAAAACTTCAGGGCTTAGTCTTCAACTTCCTGCTCAATCTGCATTTCTTTTTGTCTCACCACAGTAATTAATTTATAAGCTGAGAAGAGACAGGTAATGTTTATTATGGAGATGATATCCTTGAACAAGCTTCCTAAAATAACCTCCATGGGTTTGCAAGGAACCTTACATTTGATAATTAATTATGCACACTTACTTTAACATATCTTTAGGTAATCAGAACAAAAGAAGCAAGTTGTCTTTGTTAATTATCATGAAAATTTTCTTATAAATATCATAATTATGCATATTACTGTGTCTGCTGTCACTCATGTCTGGAATAGCTTTAGGCAGTTATTTTCCTTCCATTGTCATCATAAGAAAGGGCTGTTGAAAAGAACAGAGCTAAGGTTGGAGGCTCCACAGATTCATTTCAGAACATGTTATTCTTCTTGTGACTTTATGCTGTTTGGCTGTTGTAGGGTCTGCTATGTTATGCTTGTCCTAGCTGTGTTATCTCATCTTTGCGAGGTCGTGGTGTCCCTGGGACTAGGGCTGTGCCATGCTCCCTTCCTGTGGTCCTTGATAGGAGCTAGATGCTCACGTCAGGCACACTCTACAGACATGGTGCTTCCAAGACCAAACAAGCACTGTCTAGCAGGCAAAGCTCTGATTTTTTATTTTATTTTTTTGCAGAACAACAGTCTTGGTTTCTGGTGGGTGAGTTCCCATCTGTAGCTTCATGAATGAAACCAGACTGGCCAATGGGCTGCAGATGCTGTTTTGGTGCTTTCTGTCCTGAAATGGGCAACTAACCAGGCTGATGTGCAGGTAAACCAGGCCATTTTAAACTTGCTTTTGAAACGTTTGTTGAGAGCTCTTCCCTTTATCTTTGAGGTAACAATTTATCTAACTCCAGGTAAGAGTTTGGCTACTAAGCTTTCATAAACCATGCTCACAGACCAAGCGTTGCAGCTGATAGAGTCACAAATCCAAAGGTCTGCTGGCCAGTTCTTGACAGCTGGGAGAGTGTGACAGAACTAATTATGGTCTTGGATTAAACTTTCTGGCACCGCAGGTGGCAAGCGCTTTGCTCTATGGTAAAAACCTCCCCAGAACAGACTAGTTCAGACTTTGGCCGTCATTTCTTCGCTAGCAGAAAGTTGATAAAGGAAATTTCCATTAAAATAATTAGACAAAGTTGAAAACTCCACTTTATAGATACTCTTTATAATACAGAGAATGTCTTTGAATCTCCACAGCTTGACATTCACCAGAGGTCACTAACATATCATTAAACACCTATGTAGGTGCTGCTAATACACATTTTATGCTCTGTCTAGTACTGAAAATATTAAATGTGTCTGATGCCTGCTTACAGACATAACTAAGGATCAAAACCTTGCTTTTGTCCGTGCCTCCGAGACCCCATTTTCTACGGTGCAGACAAAAAATTAAACAACAAATTCTCCTTCACTAACATACATCCCCTGTCTTGCTTGGGTAGCATGCAGGAGTGCAAGGCTTTCATCAGCTGGGATGAGGGATGAAAAACAGCTTTTCAGCTCATGCTAAAAGCTCTTGATACACATGCTCGAAGTCGGAGCTATGTTAGTAATGATAAAAGTCTCAGCTGCTTACTGAGTTAGCAGAAACAAAGCATAACAAAAGCCAAGAGTCAAAAGTCTCACAGAAGTGCAATCTTTCTGTGCAACAACAGGCAGAGTCGGTGCTTTGGTTCCCTGGCCCAGCCAAACCAGGGCTTGCAGCCCTGTGCACGCTCGTGGAGGAGCGTCCATGTAAGGCCCGTGAGCAGATGCCGCCTCCTCTGCCTAGCGAGCACAGTCAGGAGGAGGAACGTACCTGATTCCTGTTATTCACAGTGCAGTCCCAGCCGCAGTATCTGCATTCCTAAGGCTAGTTTGAGGACAGAGTGCCAAGAAACCAGCAGAAGAGTGATGCGATGGCAGGGCTGGGACCTGCAGCTACTTGTTGTGAATTCGGACTTTGTTGTGCTGGGCTCTTCCTCCTGATGGATCTAGATTTTAACTATTCTCACCCCAAAACAAAGAAACTAACGAATAAAACACATAAATAAAATATTTAAATTTCTATGGATCCTTGTGAACTGAAATGACCATTTTTCAAACAAATAAAGTATCAGCCAAGATTTCACTGCAATGCTACTATGCTCAAGTGAATAATGTGGGAAATATTATTTGTGATAATTAAATGCCTATGCTAATTTACAAAAACATGATTCTTTTATACATAGCTTAAGACGACTTTGATAAATTTGCTCACTGTATGCTATCAATTCAGAGAAGACAAGAGCCATTTGATTATGAAGATTATCATAAATAAACAATGAGACAGGACTTCTAGATTTATGGCTTAATATTGTAATTAGGTTTTGCTAAAGAAAAAGAAGAAGCTTTTGATAGAGTAAACTTATAGTTATTTGTGTACACAAAGGAGATGCAGCATATTGTAAAGTGCTTGTAAACTGCCTGCCAGTCCAGGAATATTTATTTATGTGGAAATTGCGTTCAAAGCAAAACTTTCTGGAGAGACATGCAAATTAATAAAAAATCAGCTGGAGCTCAGCCATGTAGCACCATGCTGCAGGGAATCTGTGTGGGGATTCACTGCCTGGATGGAGCTGGAATTGGCGATGGTAATAGGGATGGTAACACGGACAGGGACATGGCTGGGAAGGGACACGAGACACTGGCTGGGAGCTGGCCTCCCAAGAACTGGTGTTGGTCCGTTCCTCAGGCATCAGGGAAGTAATACTGCTTGGGATTTGCACGTGGAAGGAAGGTAGGTATCTCTGTGGCTGATAGGGAACTATTAAACTG